ACTAATCTAGCTGAATCCTCCTACACAGATTTAGAAAAATTAGTAAGCATAGTAGAAGAAACAACCCTATCTGATTGGAATGTTTGGAAGAATTTTTATATGGAGGATTTAGATAAGAAAAAGAGCTGGTGGGATCATCATATTAAGGCTTTTATTGAAAAGTCGAAGGAAGGAATCGAATAGATTTAATCATTAATTAAGTTAGTATTTATTTATTATTGTAGAATTCAACCTCAAGAAAAAGAAGAAGAAGAAAGCGAAGTTTATTCAATGAAAGAAGATTTTTTTGAAATCTTGGCTGAAATTCAAGATATTGATGAATCTATATATAAAAAGATTCTTGAAATACTTTAAACGGAGAAAGTTACAGACATCATTAGATTCCTATCAAAGACAAACAATCAAAACTTTTATGAATCATTGATGAATAAGCAAGAGAATATAGAGGATGTAAAGAATAAAATACAGAAAATAACAAATGTACTAAGAATTATTAAGGATAATATATTTAATAAAGATGACTATTCTTTATAGACTTATGAAAAGGAAAGATCAGATCTTATAAAGAGGATGAAGGAGAATAAGGGAATCATATATTTTTTGAAGTTTTTAGTTCTCCTTACGAGCATAGATGGAAAATTTATTTAATGTGGGTCAAATGGACTTAATTTATTAGTTGCATTGAAAGTTGATATTAGGAACCAATCCTTTGAGAATATCAGAATAAAAAATACTTCTTTAATCGGAGGTAAATTTGTAAGATGCAGCTTAAGTGGATCTGAATTTGAAAATGTTAATATAAGCGGAATCAATTTGAATGGAGCTAAGATGTTTAACTGTAAATGGAAGAACATTAAAATACATGAATTGAATAAATTGGATGGCCATAGTAGTTGTGTGAGATCAGTCTGTTTCTCTCCTAATGGAAATACATTAGCTTCTAGTAGTGATGATAAGTCAATCCGTCTATGGGATGTAAAAACTGGATATTTAACAAAAAAATTAGATGGTCATTGTGATAGAGTTTGGTCAGTCTGCTTCTCTCCTGATGGAAATACATTAGCTTCTGGTAGTGATGATTACTCTATCCGTCTGTGGGATGTAAAAACAGGATTATAAAAAACCTAATTTGATCATAATACTGAAATTTTATCAGTGTGTTTCTCTTCTGATGGAAATACATTAGCATCTGGTAGTAATGATAAGTCTATCCATCTATGGGATATCAAAACAGGATAATTAAAAGTAAAATTAGATGGTCATACTAGTGGAATCTTATCAGTATGTTTCTCTCCTGATGGAAATACATTAGCATCTGGTAGTAGTGATAAGACTATCCGTCTATGGGATCCAAAAACAGGTTAATAAAAAGCCAAATTAGTTGGTCATACTAACACTGTCTACTCAGTATGTTTCTCTCCTGATGGAAATTAATTAGCATCTGGTAGTGTAGACTAATCTATCCGTCTATGGGATGTCAAAACAGGATAATAAATATTCAAGCTAGATGGTCATAGTAGCACTGTCTATTCAGTATGTTACTCTCCTGATCGAAATAATTAGCATCTGGTAGTGTAGATTAGTCTATCCGTCTATGGGATGTCAAAACAGGATAATAAAAAGCAAAGTTAGATGGTCATAGTGATAGAGTTTGGTCAGTCTGTTTCTCTCCTGATGGAAATACATTAGCTTCTGGTAGTGTAGATAAGTCTATCCGTTTATGGGACACCATAAACCCATCATAAAAAACTGTATTTGATGGTCATACTGATACAATCCTTTCAATCTGTTTCTCTACTGATGGAAATATATTAGCATCTGGTAGTAGAGATAACTCTATCCGTCTATGGGATGTCAAAACAGGATAATAAAAAGCTAAGCTAGATGGTCATAATAG